GGAGCTTACAGCAGCGCCGTGAGCGCGCGTGCGCGCGCGCGCGCGGCAGCCCCGCGCCTCGCGTCACACACCAACAAGTAATAACCCCTGTAATCTGTAAGAGCGCGGAACGGACGTGATCGCGACTGGCTCGCTGACCCGGAAGCAAACCCCGGAAAAAAGAAGATAAAAAGATAGGGGGACAGGGGGAGAAAGAGAGAAGGAAAGAAGAAAGGGATGTGCATCTCTCCCTCTCGATGTCCGGCGGTGATGGCGGTGGTGATGGTGGTGGTGCGAGTGCAACCGAGCATTCGCGGCATTACAACCGCCGACAACAACATGCGGGCGTGCGTGCGTATACCCCGGAGACCTTACGAGTGATTCCAGACAGACGAATGAACGAATGAACGAACGACGGACGGACGGACGGACGGACCATACCATCGCCACGAGACTATTGTCCCGTTCGATTTGAGATTCGTCGAGTGCCGCGATCGAATCCGGCTCCAACCGGGCTTGATTGGGGCGAGAGGGTGCTGCACGCGCGCACACCCCGTCGATACTTTCGGCGCGCTGCACCGTTATTATATCGATGTGATATCGATTGGACGTTTCGAATCTGTCGTAGTGCCGCTTCTGAAGTAGCGTCAGCTACTTTCTTTTATCGCTCAGCGAATTCTTCTGCGCTCTCGGCGAGGCTGCCCGATCGGAACAAAGTTGATTCTTTTCTTTCCCCAGCAGGGCAGTCGTATTTTTAGCTACTGTAAGCTACCGAGGATCAGGATTCCGTCGCGTCGAGCTTTAAAACTGCGTATCCTCGCGCGCGCGCGCGCAGCTTACTGCGCAAAGCGGTGGTATACTTGCGACTCGAAACTACGAAATTGCGAGTGGATATACCCTCCGCTGTGAGAGAAGAAACTACCTTGTTCCTGCGAAAAGGACATTACGAGAATCCGCTTTCCTCGGAACATTTCTACCGTAAACGTACAAGGGGACCGTGATTTTTTTAAACGAGAGAGAACTCAAATGTAATTACGTTACCGCGTCTATTGAGAGCGAACATTCCGTAAATAAAGATAAAATGAGATACAGGCGCGAGCGCGAAGGGTGAGAAGGGGCGAAAAGACGCTAATGGAACTTGATTAGAAAGTGACCCACCGACGAAGAAATATTCCCATGAGGATTTCTCTTAAACGTGATTTAGCTTTGCCGCGCGACGAAGCGTCGCGGAATGCTAAGTGTCCGGGGTGTGAGAAACGTGCGATCGCTTTGTGATCGCGTGAACGTAGATCGGCGAGACGCCGGTGATAACAATGCGATAATAACGCGAATCTGCTCGCGCTTTTATGCCTCCTCCCCGCCCTCGCCCCTCGTGAAATCGCTGAAACGGATTATCCGACAGTTTCGGCGGAACCCTTCGACCCGACGATGACGGCGAACTGGTTTGAAAGCGAATTCGGTCGATGAGACCGACGTTTGAGAGGAAACGAGCAAGGAGCGGGCGGCGAGACGGAAAGCAACCCGGCATTGATAGAGAGAGAGAGAGAGAGAGAGAGAGAGAGAGGAGGACAGAGAGTAACATGGAAAAAGAAAAAGACAGGAACTCCGAGTGAAAGTCCCCTAGCAAAAACCAGGCCAGGGCTTCGTATCTTGGCGCGAACACACCGTAGCCATTATGCAATTACGTCGACGACGCGTTGGCTGCCGTCTACTTGAGCGCCGCGGGTTTGCCCGGCTGCGCGTCCCCGTTTCGCTTCACACAATTTACGTTCCGAATCGCTTAAAAGTTTTCGAATTACCGTCGCGGCCGCGGACGCAAATGTTACCCGGCCATGTCGTTGCGACATTGTTTTTGGCGATTAACGACGATTCGCTGCCGCCACGGTCGAATACAAGCGTGCAAGCGTGTTCTCTTTCCCTCCTTCCCTCTTCCTCTCTTTTCCTCTTATTCTATTTCTTTTTTTTTTAGAAAAGGACATTTTTTCGCGCGTTTCTTGATATTTAACGAGGTCCCGAGAAGAATCGTTCAATATATTGGAAGTACAAATTAGTTCGGTTCGTTTTTTTGTGTTAAAAATGTATTTATTTCAAAACAAAATGAATGAACAGATCAATTAAAGTATTTTCCATCGCTGGCTACTACTTTCTCCCATTTCTCAGGCAATTTTCGAATCCCATCTCGAAAAAATGACTCGTCTTTTGAGGCGATCCAAGTTTGGAGCCAATTTTCGATTTCTGCGAAAGAAGTGAACCGGTGACCTGCCAAATCGTGCTGCATCCTTCGGAACAACCAATAATCAGAAGGAGCAATGTCCGGCGGAGAATACGGCGGGTGCGGTAAAACATCCCATTTGAGCGTTTCCAAATATTTTTTTTACGACTTTTGCGACATGAGGCCGAGCGTTTTCATGAAGAATAACTTTATCATAACTTTCCTCGTATTCCGGCCGTTTTTCTCGCAACGGCTCAAACGGATCAATTGTAGCCGATACCGATCGCCCATAATGGGATCTCCAGGTTTCAGCAGCTCATAGTAAACAATACCCTTTTGGTCCCACCAGATACAGAGCATGATCTTCGAACCATGTATGTTCGGCTTTGGTGTTGATGTTGAGGTCGATGGCAACAATTGACCGGGCTTGGCGTAGTATTTTTTCTTCTTGGGGTTGTCGTAGAATATCCACTTCTTATCTCCAGTTACAATCCGATGCAAAAAACCTTTTCTTTGTTGCCTTTGAATCAGCTACTCGCAAATGAAAAATCGCCTTTCAACGTCTCTCGGTTTCAGTTTCTAACCTAACCTAATTTCCTTGTTTTTGAATAAATCCCATGTCTCTCAATCGTACGGAAACGGCTTGTTGAGTCACTCCCAATGATTCTGCAAGCTCCTCTTGCGTTTAACTCTGATCTTCCTCGAGTAATACCTCCAATTCTTTGTCCTCGAATTTTTTTGGCTGTCCAGAGCGAGGCTTGTCCTCGACGCTGAAATCTCCATCCTTGAACGTCGAAACCATTCCCTACATGATTTATCAGTTGGAGCAGCGTCACCATAAACTTCAACAAGCATTCGATGGGCTTCAGCTGCACTTTTCTTTCAATTAAAGCAGAAAATTAAAACCTCCCGCAAATGCTGCTTGGTTAACACAAAATTCGACATTTTCAACACTGTAAAAAGCAAGGTTTTTGTATGAAACTCAAAGCGATATAAACTGAATATTATTGGCAGATGCTAACCTCTCTGAAACCGCCAAAATCGGCAGGCGTTATGAACCATTCATAACAGCCGGAGCCATCTTTTGAAAACGGACCGAACTAATTTGTACAGCCAATAGAATCAGAAGGGTGCAGAAACAGGTGCGCCATCACGTCCCACGTTCGTCCGCAGGAGACGGAATTACTTGCGTTCCTGGTAAACGCGGGAACGTGTCGAAAGAATTGGTCGCCGCGTCGTCCTTCGCCAACCGGCGATTTCCGAAGGTAGATCAAGGTCACGAGTTGCGGCTGTTAAATTTCGAGATCTTGTAGCCCCGTCGTGTTGCGCCACGAGCGAAAATAATCTGATATGTTGCTCGTAGACGTGCAACATTGAGTTCCTCCAGTCGTTCAACTTCGATGAGAAACGTCAACGACACAGGCCGATCACATTCTACTATGATTACTTCACTCTCTCTCTCTCTTCCTCCTCCTTCCCCTCTCTCTCTCTCTCTCTCTCTCTCTCTCTTTTCCTGCTTATTTTGCAAATCTCTGGTAATCGAAAGTCCTTAGTGCCCCCATTGCACGCGTAACTCGACGTAACTCTACGACACACACACACACGTCCATGTGTGAGCATTGAACGCGATCGCACGAATCGCTTTGCGAAATGTGCGAAAATGCTGGGTAATCTTGAGAGGTCAAGAGGTCATCGAACGTTGCGCAAGGCTTTTTCTCGCATTCGCGCCGCTCGCCGCTGCCGCGGAGCGGAAAGCCACATAATTCGTATCACTTTGGCTAGTAAGTAAGGAAGCACGCGAAACGTGGGTATTACCGCAAAATAACAGACGCGGCCTCTGCGGTAACAACGACTGCAGGTAACCCAATGACCGCTCACGAGCTCTCGCAATTCCAGCGGGCCGGCCGCGCCGCGCGCGGAAATTTCCACGCATTTTAAATTGACGTGATACGCACAATGGCTGTCTATTACAGACTGACCAAACACCAGTTAACTCTGCTACCTCGCAGAAGCTGAGTCGCTTCAGTGCGTGGCTGTAACAGGCCTTCTACAATGAATCGTTAGTCGTAAGACTTAAGCAAATTGACTAACTACAGCTGATAATTTTTCGGGACAATAGACTGTGATTGGTCAATTCGCTTACATCGGCGCGTACGCGCACGCATCGCGAATCGCAGCGCACGGGACGCACGGGACGGAAACGTTGCCTTTCTGTTTTCTCTCATGCTTCTTTCAGTCTTTTTCATTTCGCCCCGCGTATTACGACGAAATAATCTTGTCATCGCAGCTGGCACGAGCGTACGAGTGAAATGCAAATATGCAAGTTCGCAAATATATATAAAAGCGCGCGCATGTCGACGATCGGGCGATCGAGCGATGACACACGCGTGAAATTCTAAAGATATCTTTTCGGTGGCAAAGTGGAAGTCGCAAACAAATTGCTGCGTCATTTTTGCGGACTGGCGATAACGAGACCTCAGGCCGGCGAGAATCGGCCGGTGAAAAGTTGCTCACACTCGCGACATCGACATCGAATTTCATGCGCTATTCTCCTCAGCCTCGGTTCTCTCCACCGGAGAGAGCCGGGGACTTTGCGGAGTTACTTTTCCGAAGTTACTCGAAACGCAAAACGCCGAGCAGCGGAGAGAAGTGCGCTGCGTGCGCCTCGTTTTCTCCACTTGACCTCCTCACCGCTGGATTACACAACATTTTCTCCGATCCGGCGCAACGTCACCGCGCGCGCGCGTTCCATCACGCTCGGCGAATCTCGCATTATGCTCGTTGACTGTTAATAATCGTGACGACTTACCGAGGTGTAATGTGGCGAGGGCGAACAAAAGCAAACCGGAGATGAGTCGCCGTGGCGTCGCGTCCATTTTTCGGTTCCGGCCACTGCGGGTCGCGAGTCCTCTTCTTTTCCGTTACTGCTGCGGACGGTGGTGACGACGGCACATGTACACACACACGAACCACACGCGCGCACTTATAATCGATCTGCAATTCGAAAAAAGAAGCACACTGTGAAGCCTCGCGTTGATCTTTCTCACCAGTAGGCCCCCTCTCGTAGATATCACCTCTCGTCGATCCTTAATTTTTAACAACTCGTTTTCGACTCGCTCGGTACATGGACCAACGGAATTTAATGTATAAATTATTATACTTGATTGGTCACGCGGAGCGATCAAAATCGAAAATCCCGATCCCGTGAAACATCCCACGGAGAACTGTCCTTCCACAGCTTCGGAAGAAAAGCCGCAGGATGGCTCGGCGATAAGAACTACAGGGACGAAGCGAGCTGCACTTTAACATCGAATTTTCTTCAATGCCTGCGTCGTTATCATAAAATGCGCGCGTAAGAAGATATCTAAAATACAGAAATGTAATACGTACGAGCAAGGTCAAACGGGTATGTCGGCGACGAATGTGTGATTTCCAGTCAGTGTTGGGAATTGACGCTAAGTCTCAGGCGAAAACACGATAGGCACGAGAAGCGATCGACGAGAGATCGGACGAACTTGATGGCGACGCTCGACCGGCTCAAACTCGACTGAGTGTAAATTCGTCATTGATCGCGCGGCACACCTTTCTCATGCGATCTCACGGCTCTCAAGCCGTACGATCTACCGTTACCCGAAGATTATGATTCTGGTATACAAATTCCGCACGAAGGAGAGAGGGAAAGAGAGAGAGACAGAGACAGAGAGAAAGAGAGAGAGAGAGAGAGAGGGAGGGAGGGAGAGCGTAACATGTCGTATACGCAGCGTGTCGTCTGTCGTGCGTGAAAATAGTTTAGAGCTCATTTAGCGCGCTCACTTTTCAGCGTTTGTCAATCGTGCGAGAATGAAATTCGGTCAAATAAATTCTCCGACACGATAAACCGAATGAATGCGACGAGCGCTAAACATGACGAAGATTAAAGTAACAATTTTTAATCGGATTATTATGGGAGAAACGCGCTTCGTTTCTCCTTCTTCGACCTGTGAGCAAGGTCTTAATTTGTCCGTAATTTGAAATAAATTATTGCGAAATAAACCTTTGTCATGCAACATACAGAAAGCCAAAATGCATCGTCCGACAGTGAAAAAGATACAATGAACTTTTAAAGGATGAATAAACTCGCTGCATCATATAATAGATTTCAAAGAGGCTCTATTCACTGCTAATATCGCAGCTATCAATATTTAACGCAAAACAGAAAGAAATATAATATCACCGTTATTCCGATGATGCAGCGCGCACACAATATATCTTATACGCCGTTGTTTGTTTGCCCCGCCAAACAATAATTCATGCGCGTCTAGCAAGCAAGCGCCCATGCTAACGTGTTTGAAAAATCTCATCATCTAAAGCCCGCCCGGCATACTTTTGCGTACTAAACTCGTAGAAGAGAGTGGAACGAGAAAGAGAGAGAGAGAGAGAGAGAGAGAGAGAGAGAGAAAGCTGAGCATAACGCAATCATATGATGATTAAAATGCCATTGGCGTTATAATCAAAATATAATTGACGCAAACTCTATTGTCTCTACACTGCTCCACAAATGTAGTCTATTGAATTTTAATAAAGTGAAAGCAAAATCCTCGTTCAGCAAACGTTTCAATAAATCGTGCGAGGCAAACAGATAGAATATCGCACCTGGGCTGCGTTCCAAAACACTACTCTCTGCGTAGCGGAACTCATCGCCGTTCTAAAACGCGGAGTAATGTACTATATGGGCAAAGTTTAAGCGTTCCAAAAGTGGAGATGTATTCCGAGTGAACTCGGTGAATCCTGTTTCCGAAGTGAGTTAGAAGAATAAATAGTAAGGTACGATCGCGTATATATAAAAAGTACAACTCCCACTTGATATCAATTGTTTAATACGCGTACCAACCAAACCTTCCTGTTAAATTATTTAAATTTTCAGCAATACGTGCAAACGAGACTGTTCAATTTGTACACCGACATAATAGTTTTAACACCTTGTGCCACTTATGGTTATGAAGATCTTTTAATTTAATTTTTTAATTCAACTTAATGTCTTTTTTCAAGTACTTCTGGCTTCTGAAACAGTCTAACACTGCCATTTAACACACTTTTTCGGTTTCACCTCAACTAATTTTACAAGTTACTCAGTTAAATCAGTCTCAGTTAAACGTGTCACGACAAAGTGTACTCCGCATACAGAACTTATTCATTCGAAATCTCTTGGACTTGGTAACTTGCTCAGACTTATTCTTTCTCTCACCACGTCAGATTCCGTAGAATTGACTTAGTAGAGCTTTTGGGAACGCAGCCTTGGAAGAGCGTAACGAGTTGAGAGATTCAATGGTTGGTTTCAATGGTTAGTCGAGACGAGATAGAGATGAAATTATATGTTGCATAAAATTCACAGGCTATACCGATCGATTTTCGAGCTGCCCGTGCTCAAAACGGTAAATTGCGACGAACGTCGCTCACGAATAAGTCACGCGAGTAAAAAGCTCGATTACGCCGTACATACGTCGTGATTTCGTCGTGATCCAACGTGAAAAGCTAGAGATGTGCACGCGCGAAATAACTGTTCCTCCTCTGTCCCTCCCATACCTTGCAGGATAGCAGTAGCTGATGTTCCTCTTTTTTCTGTTCTTTTTCTCGAATTCATCCAGCGCGCTCCTACTTAATCTCCCAATCTGTCCGACATATTTTTATACGTATCAAACTTCGCTGTCGCTATCGGCCGGCCAGGAGATAGACGAATGTGGTATATCGTGCCGTATATTTCCGGCATGTGTATCGTTACGAACATAATCTCTTTCTATCGCTCGGAAGCACACGCGCGTATAAGCACAACGCCGATGTTTCGGCGGCGCTCGTTTCGAGGCGTAATTTCTATTTGTTTATCGCGATACACACACGCGCGCGTTTCTATCTCGACGAGCCCAAGCGCAGCTTTATCCCGTGCAATCGCGAGCAATACGCAACGGCGGATCGTTATCGAAATTACCATTACACAGAATCGCGAATTCACCGAATTTGAGCGGCCGAATGTAACCGTCTTATCGCGTTACTTTTCACACATTGTCGCGGATCGGAAACCTCACGCAATCGTCATCGTAAATCGGCGAATTACACCGTAATCGATGAGATCCGGCTCCCGCGTATCGGATCCCGCGCATATTGCGAGCAGCTTCGTCGAATACGTCGGGAAACTGCGACGCACCAATTGATTCTCTCACTCTCGGCTCTCACGCGCTTCAACGTGTAATCGCGTTTAATTGCTACGCAAGACACATCACGCCGGTAATTCATTTGCCGAGAATTCGTGCCTTCATCGATCCGCAAGATGCCTTCCTGCGACCTGACGAAAGACCTTGCGAGTATGTTACACGTATACGCACACGCAGACCGTCACGCGATGATATCAAAATATAAAATCTCGACGATATATATATATATATTGATTTGTCTCTCTCGTGCGGATGCAACGCCTTCAAACGCCTTCGAAGCTGGTCCCATGCTTGGGAAATAGCAATTGTCACCCAACACAATCACCGCCGGTGCCGGACGCACCAAGAAAGACAATAGATACAAAGAATCGAGATTTCGGCAACACGATAGCGTAGCAAATGACCAACACTTGATTAAACATTTTTGAAGTATAAATCGGAAGTTCCGTTAAACACACTAACCCAGATGTCCAGATGGCAAATGGCTACGTGTACGCTGCTGCATATTCTCCGGAATATCAACGCGCGATTGCTCCTCAAACGTAACGAAATATTTGACCTCTTCAAGAAGATACAACAAAAAGTTCTATCGCGCGATCAAATGATTTGTGCCGGAAACTTTACGGAGAGAGGCTATACTCTACGAATCCAAAGTCCTCCAAAGTCCCTCCCTTTCTCTCCCCCCCTCTCTCTCTCTCTCTCTCTCGCTCTCTCGCTCTCTCTCGCTCTCTCTCGCTCTCGCTCTTGCTTTCTCGCTCTCTCGAGCACAACGCAGGGAATACCATAGCTACTGGCACGACAATTCCAAGGAAATTACCGTTGAAACATAGTCACACAAGCGTGATACCTCAGCCTCATGGAGAGTCCTTTACCAGACGCGAATTCGAGCGAAGAATTCTCGCGCCACCTCGCGTCGCCATCTAATTGACCTTCTCGTGCACCTTGCTCCACATTTGCAAAACTATTTTTTTACGTTCACGAGCATCTCTCGCCCTCCGCGCGCACAGCACACCGCGTACGTAGGTATGTAGGTACAGTCCGAGCTCTAATTCTCATTCACCTGTCGGCCAACCTCTCTCTCTCTCTTGCTCATCCTCTTGACCATACATCCCTATATGATAACGTCGCAGGCTTCACTCGACGACGATACGATGCAATACGGAGCGACGCCGATCTCGCGAATACGCGAGCGTAGCTGCGCGGCCTTATCGCGCGCGCGCGCGCGTTATCTCTTCTCTCGTCGTTGGGCCCGCCGACAACGGCGCGGGTCTCCTGACCTGGTCGCAGCGATGCACGACGCGCAGCGGCAGCAGCAGCAGCAGCAACAGCAGCAGCAACAGCAACAGCAGCGGGGGAGCCGGCGCCGAGAGGCTACCACACCACGGTGGGCTACCACCGTGGGACGCGCGTTTTCGTGTGGATGTGGAAGGACTGAGGCGCGACGGCGGCGGCTCTACTCGTGCTGTGAGCCGCGAGTACGCGCTCCCCGGGACATGTATTGGCGGGTAGGAAAGCTCCACCTATCGCGCAACCGAGTGGGAGGGCATAGGAAAACCCGGAGCTTGCGCCCTCCGGCTGGCCCGCGCACCAAGCACAACCCCTTCCTTGGCTTTTTCCCAACTTTCGAGCTTGCGGTGCACCCCCTCCCCTCCCCGCCGGCCCCCCCTCCCGCACCCTCTGCCCTATCCATGTCCTCTTCCTCCTCCACCGCCCTCGTTCTAACCCCCTCGACCCTCTCGCGCCATCATCGCTTCTCGCCCCCATCATTACCATCGCCGCTACCATCCTGCAACCCCGCGAGCTTTTGTCCACCTCCGCCCCCGCCGTTCCTCTTCCCGTTCCGTTCCCATCCACCCCCCCCCCCGCTGACCCCTCGTTGGGCGAGCCGCGAGGGGCTCTCTGCTCCTAATGCGATACAGGGCACCAACCGGCGAAATTCGGACTAGCAGCAGCGGACCGCAAGCACGAGTTGAGGAGTTTGCCGGAGTCGAGGCAGAGCGTCCCCCGCTCACTCGCTCGCTCGCTCGCTCGCTCGCTCGTTGGTGCGCGCGCGCAGGGGGTGACAAAGGACACCCCCTTTGCAAGCGCGCCTGCAGCTTGCGTCTTCTTGCGCTATCTCGTCGCCTCCACCCTCCTTCGTCGCTTCCTCCTCCTCCTCCTCCTCTTCCTCCTCCTCCTCCTCCTCCTCCTCCTCCGTGACAACCCATGCCACCAACGAGCTAACGCGGTTTTTTGCATTTCCGAGCACGGGCCGGGTGTATTTTCTTGCCGAGGCGAATTTCGAGATTTGCGACCGCGTTTGCCGAGAGCGAGAGAGAGCGAGAGAGAGCGAGAGAGAGAGAGAGAGAGAGAGAGAGAGCTCTCGCTTCGCCTAAATAGACGGAACGGAGCCGGTACCGGTTCTCTCATGAAGTAAACGTTCGCTTGCTCTCCCTTTGCAGCGGTGCCAGCCTTGCCGCTTGCGAGCGGACAACGCGCGCCCAGGAAATTAGGCTGGAACGAGTTGCAACACGAGTTGCGAGATCCTCGCTGGCAATTCGCGAGATCCTCGCGGAAATTCGCGCGACGCGATATCCTTCGCTCACCTTATCTTTGTCTCGTGTGTGTATCTTTTTCCGCGCGTTTACCGACCCGACCGTCTCTCTTCTCTCTGTGTCGGGCTGCCTCGTGTTCGCTTTGAATAGCTGGCGCATCGCGCGGATAAGAAAACGCGGTGAAGTATCTAGCCATGCGAAAACACACCAATCTCTTCTTTTCGTGGAACACTAAGCTGCAGATTTCTCTTCTCCTTTTTGTTCTTTGTGCCGCGTTTGCACGCATCCACAACTGTATTCTCCGTTCTTTCCTCACGCAGAGACACTTGCACATGCGTGCGCGAAAATCGATATAAATAATTAATTTTCCCGGATAAATCGCGTCGCAAAAGATTTCGTACGTATCTGCCGTCTTATTCAATCTTGCACTTTTAATCGGGCTGAAACGTCTCAGATCCGGCATTAATACCTTTTATACCCTTAATATCTTTAACGCGAGTTTCTTATAAGCGTAGCGTCGCAAGCTGGCCTTCCATACTCAACACGAGGCAAGGGCGATTAATAAAATATTAGATTCTTCGCGATGCGTTAAAATGTTATCGAAATTGTAACAAGCGCAAACATACACGCGTGCGCACGCGCGCGCGCGCGCAACACGCAAAATTTGGGCTGTGCTAATTAAATTCGCGTTCGATAAAACAATTTAAACATATTATACAGCCGAAAGCTCAAGCGAGGATTGCGATCATTGCGCCTGAAAATACTTTTAATTACGGTACGCAAAAATGGAGGTACGCGCAGACCTCTCGACGGGGGGATAAAATGTTAGCGCACATCGAGCGGCCGGCAACGACACATATTATCGCTCGTGTTTACGCGCTTTTTAAGTGCGTAAACGGCCGCTGCAGCGGACGCGGATGAAATGATTGTTTTCGATGCGCCAAACAGCACTCGTGAATATTGTTCTCAAAGCCTCGCGGAAACACACGGCACGGTGACCCGGCGTCGATATCACGCTGTTGCGATTTATGTATCGAGAAATGTTAACTCGGAGAAGGCGAACGGGTGTCGCAAGCAGGCGGATAGGTGCGGTTCCGAACGCAGGAGGAGCTCGAAGAAAGAAAAGAGGACGACGACGACGACAAAGAAGAAGAGCCTACGAGAACAGGTGCGAGTCACGCTGTCGGTATATAACGCGTACAAACAGCGCTATGAACGGCGCGAGGAACGATTTTGCGATGGCTCTCTCTTCACGCGTGATCGCTCTCTCGAGCGTCGAACGTTGCAGTCGCGATATTGGCAATAATGTTTTTCTTTTTTCGCAAATATCGGGAAGATAACTCACGGGAAGATCGTTCAACCGTTGCGAAGCCACGTTCAGCCTCGACGTAACGAGACCGCCATAATTATTTGCTGCAATTAGTGCGAGAATAATTATTTCTCTTTCTCTCCGCCCTCTCCCCAGCGAGAATTGAACAGCACGCGGAATGAACTCGCAAAATTGTTTTATCGTGATGTTTTCTCCATGCGTGGCGGATGCGTGTCACGCAACATTAAATCTCAGCTTGTATATCGGTCTCTATTTAATTTTACGCTTTGAGGCAAGGGAATCGATGTTAAATTAAGCCTCCTTTAAACTCGGCCGATACCGTGGCGAGAGACCGACTTTTAGATGCTGTCCTCTCCTCAAGATGGAACAGCGGCGATTGAAAAGAGAGGCCGCAACCCGGCCGGGCGCGGCGCGACAACGCGAAAGTGGGTCTTCATATCGTAAACGAACTGAGAGAAATTTTAATGGGACAACGCAGATAACGCATCTGGATATCTGTCGAACTTTCCGCAACCGCGTTGAACAATCGCATCGACGCTGGTTTGCTAATATCGGAGATACCGCATCGACCGGCCGTCATTGTGCGATTTAATTAAACATTTCATTACGCTACGAACGACAGGCAACAGATAGGCGACTGCAATTGCCAGCAGAATGTGCCCGTATGCGCCATCCGTGGACGCACGATCGCTTCCTGTATGCCTGACAGGCAGGATACGGCGGACATTTAATTAGATATTTCGGTTACAATCGGTGCATGTAAAAGCGTTCTAATTTTTTATCTCAAGGAAACGCCGCGCCGCGCCGCGCTGCTCGCGCTAAACGGTGCACATCGGATTTCCGCCTTGGTGAAGCGCGACTTTCCGCAGTATTGCAAAGAAAGAAAGGAACAATACATTTAATCTATAAAGCTGTCTCGCTCCTTAACTTTCCACGCAAACGCATTTCCCGTAAAATCTATTCGACAAAAATAAAAAAAGCTGTTTTTATCTTACGAACAAGCACGGTCTTTAAAAACGCGGTACGGCCACGTTGTCGTCTTTCGCGGACTGCTCGCTAAGTCCCGATTGAAAAGCTATTGTTCTCATACCGATAAGTTCAGCAACAATTTGCAGAATTACGAGAGGCGAATATATCGCGCCGAAGCGGATCAGGAAATAACGCTCGCTCGAAACGTGATCTACCGAGGCGCCGGGCCCGTCCTTCTTCAGAATGTTTCATTTTTCACATTTGCTCCTTAGCGACAACGAAATGGCATCGAATCGTAGATTCGGCGAGCCGCGCGCGCGCGTTACGCGGGGCAGGCTGGAAATATGACGGTATTTCAATGAGAAATGAACTTCTTGCTCCGTAATGCTTTGGATAACGTATATATTCCCGTTTCGCTGCTTCGCCTCGCCGATTCGCCTCGCACGGGAGAGCTTTGGAAGCGCTCTCTCTCTCTCTCTCTCTCTCTCTCTCTCTCTCTCTCTCTCTCTCTCTCTCTCTCTCTCTCTCTCTCTCTCTCTCTCTCTCCGCCCCTCCCATTTTTTCTCACTTCCTCTGCCCTTACTCTGTGTCTCTCCGCCTCCGTTTCTCGCTTTCACGTACCCTCGCGCATCCCTCTTCTTCCTACCGGCCGACCCGCTACGCGGATTTCTACTTCGCAGCCGGTAGGTTTCCCATTTTTGAACTTGCTCTCTCGGAGTGGCCATGCCGGCTCCGGCCGGTGATATCGAGCTCTACACACGATTTCCCGTGCCAATATTACCGGCGAGGTCGATGCACGCGACTGCTCTCCCGCGCTGGAAACGCGCATTACGCTGGCCGATGCACTTTTTTGCACGCGCGCGCGCGCGCGCGCGTGTTCGCCGCTTTCATTTCTGATTTTCTAAAAGTTACGCACTAACTTCGGGCAAGTAAGTTGCCTGAGATCGAATCTCGACTTGACCAGATATCAACTCTTGAGCCCTCCATCTCTCTGTCTCTCTCTCTCTCTCTCTCTCTCTCTCTCTCTCTCTCTCTCTCTCTGTCTCTCTCTCTCTCTCTCTCTCTCTCTCTCTCTCATTCTCTCCGTCTCACCTTGCCGAAAGATACATTGTTGATTATTGGCAATTATCGACGGCAATAGATCGACAAAGAAATTGAAATTCTGTTTGAAAGTAGAGGGAAAGAAGCCATCGGACAGTGACACGGACTGTAGTAATTGTTTTCCAGTATCTCTATCTTCTCCCTTGCGGCAAGACAGATTTCATCTGTATTAATTCGATGACAGAGCAAACTTATTAGGGGATGAGTAACTTCCCGCGACGAACGCATAAGTATTACTCTCGCGTTCTTGATTAAGCCGGGACGCGAGCCAACGGAATTTGCAATCGACCCGCCGAGCGAAGTCGAGCGTCGTCCTCTTTCTCTCCTTCTCTCTCCCCACACCGCTTAATAAATATCCCTACGAATTACGAAATCGCATTAAGTCGTATCGAGTTTCTTCGGAACTCGAGAACTTTGAGAGCCCGCGAGGTCCACCCCGTCCCGACTCTCCCCGCGCCACCGAGAATATTTCACGCACGAACACGCATACACGCCGATAAATATTCGCGGCGCTTCCTCCCCGCGGACGGTTGTTCGCGGTTTTGTAAATTCGTTTCCGCGACGAGAGAGAATCGTATCGACGTCCTCATCATTGTCGTCGTCGTCGTCGTCGTCGTCGTCGTAGTAGTCTGGCGCGGCTACGGTCGCTATCGGTTTCG